TGCGGTCTACATTCGAATGGCTCAATAGTACAGGTTTTTCCTTTTGCGCTTTGGTTCGCGAACACTTTTACGACAGTTTGTTCTTAATTCTTTACTTAAACGTCTCGTCTATCAGAACTGTAGGGAGTTCCTTACCATTTGTACCTATAGTGGGATTAACTAAACTACTTCACTACAGAGAAGGGGCAAATGAACAGTCTTACCTTGATCTTGTGGAGCTAGTTGCTTGCGCTCCGAGGATTCTTTTGCTGTCTGCATTTGCTCTGCAAAAAACATACCGCATAACAAGCGAAACTCTTTTGATCGTCCACCTACAGGTCTAGTTGCGGTCTACATTCGAATGGCTTCAATAGTACCGGTTTTTCCTTTTGCGCTTTGGTTCGCGACTACCTTTTACGACAGTTTGTTCTCAATTCTTTACTTAAAGACACATGGTACGCTCAACACATTGAGGGTGTATGAGACTATCAGCCCCCAGATGTCGATGTGTCGTGGTCCCCCCGCCCAAACATGCCCAGGAATGGAGATACAGGGCCGTGAAACACGCTAAGTTCTTCCATGCTCCGCCCACTGCCTTTTTACGGCGCAGATTCCCGCCGTTCATAACATCCGTCGTAAGCGCGCCTGTCGCGTGCGGCTCCTTGGCACTTTGCCAAGTCCTTTTAAATTGCGCTCTCAAATACTGGGAAAACGCAATTTCTTGATGCGGACAACACTGGAGGTGCTGCAAAATAAGAACAGAAGATGATGACGAGGGTCAGAACTTAAAAGCAACTGTGCCACTTCTGCAACATCCCTCGGAGGCCACGTATTTCACGAAGCGAAATAAAAACGGCATACTCGTTAGTTTAATAAAGCAAAAGGCAATTTCCTGATGCGAATAAAATTTTAGGTGTTGCTCATGCTTCAAAATCCATGTACAAGGAGATGAAGATGACACAGGCTAGAAATGAAGCACAACGATGTAAATGTAAACAAAACAAAAATGAAAAAATCAAGGAAAGGCAAATTAGATAAACTGGCCTGTAAATTTCTACGATCCGGCGCCAAAGCCATAGAAATACTTAGAATAAACGAGTGGGACGCTTGGATTGTTTTTATTCTCATGTTTTCTGGGAATGCGCGGCCTCTGATGGATTCTGCGGATGCAGCCGAGTTGCTCTTGAGTTCTGGCCCTCGTCATCATCTTCTGTTCTTATTTTGCAGCACCTCCAGTGTTGTCCGCATCAAGAAATTGCGTTTTCCTTGTATTGAGCGCAATTAAAGGACTTGGCAAAGTGCCAAGGAGCCGCACGCGACAGGCGCGCTTCACGACGGATGTTATGAACGGCGGGAATCTGCGCCGTAAAAAGGCAGTGGGCGAGCATGGAAGAACTAGCGTGTTGTCACGCCCGTATCTCCATTCCTGGGCATGTTTGGGCGGGGGGACCACGACACATCGACATCTGGGGGGCTGATAGTCTCATACACCCTCAATGTGTATGAGCGTACCATGTGTCTTTAAAGTCTCGTCTATCAGAACTGTAGGAAGTTGCTTACCATTTGTACTTATAGTGGGATTAACTAAACTACTTCACTACAGAGAAGGGGCAAATGAACAGTCTTACCTTGATGTGTGGAGCTAGTTGCTTGCGCTCCGAGGATTCTTTTGCTGTCTGCATTTGCTCTGCAAAATATATATCGCATAACAAGTGAAACTTTTCTCGTCCTAGTCGGTAGGACCGGCAGCTGTGGTTTCAAAAGCATGAATTAATTATGCGAAGTTACCACGGCATAACATTTAATATGCGCACTTACCCCCCACAAATTTCCTCTATCCGCAGCCTCAAACGTGGCGTGGGGGTGAACGGTTTGGAATGTTCCAAACCGTACCAATGCGGAGGGTGCCACGTCAGTGCCTGGCGAGCTACGCGTGGTCAAATCTCTTTACGCTGAAAACAGTAATAATGATGGGCCTCATTCCCCTGAACCTGAGGGAACCACCGACAGGGCGACGTCGGCTGGGACCGCTCGGGCGAGGCTGCAAGAATCACAGGGCCAACGGAGATTCAAGTCGCCCAGGATAGGATGACGATCTGTACTTTCAACGCACGGACGCTTGCATCGGAAGCTCACATCGAAGATCTGATGTTGCAAGCCAGGAAGATCAAGTACGACGTCATCGGACTGACCGAGACGAGGAGGCATCGCCCGCTACACGCCGTATACGAGACTGGAGAAGAACTGTTCCTCGGAACATGCGACAGCAGAGGCGTTGGCGGTGTGGGCGTCCTCGTCAACACGCACTTGGCCATGAACATCGATTCGTACGAAAATCTGACGACCCGTTTGCGATTGAGAAGATGTGGTTCAACTCCAGCTTTGACAATCTTCGTCGCCTACGCACCAACATCAAGCTACGACGAGGATGAGCTCGAAGCGTTCTATATGGAATTGGAGAAGTTCTACAAGGAAGATCATACCTTCTTCAAGGTCATCGTCGGTGATTTCAACGCTAAGATCGGACCAAGAAGAACGGCTGAAGAACTTCACATCGGAACTCACGGAACGGAGTGGAATGAGCAGGGTGAAAGGCTGTCTGAGTTTATCATGTCGACCCATACCATCCATGGTAACTCGCAGTTCCAGAAGCCCTACTCTCTACGCTGGACATGGGAGTCTCCTGGTGGACAATTCCATAATGAGATCGACCACATCATCTTCAATCGAAGGTTTTGCCTGACCGATGTCGCTGTTGTTCCTAAGTTCTACACGGGATCCGACCACCGTCTCCTTCGCGCAAGATTCCGCTTTTCGATGCGGAGAGAGAGCCGCAAAGTTCAAGAAGCGAAGCCCCAAGACCGTCATCAACTGGGATCACTTCACTTCTCTCGCTGGGCTCTGGGAGGATTCCGTCATCGACAACATCGACGAGGAATACGAACGGCTTGTCGCACATCTTCACGACTGCGCCAAGTCAGAGAGTTCCAAGATTACCAAGAAGCGTCTATCTCTGGAAACTCTCGAGCTGATTCGCCAACGTGGAGCCGCACGAGCCGCAGGCAATTACCAGCTGACGTCTGAGCTTGCGAAGCTATGCAGAGAAGCGATAAAGGAAGACCTCAAGGAGAGAAGAGCAGCAGTACTGGTGGAAGCCGCAGAGGCTGGGAAGAGCATACGCAACCCGCCGCGACTTCGCCAACTGTAAGACCAAGATGACCGCCCTCCGACGTCCGGATGGAACAATCACCGCATCCAGAAGGGCAATGGAGAAGGTCATCCACGACTTCTACTCGGATCTCTTTGACAGCCACGTCCACCTGCAACCATACCGCTTGGAGCAGGATGGATATGTCGTTCCTGCAGTTCTCTCTTCCGAAGTCCGACACGCCATCTCGTCGGTGAAGAATCGTACGGCACCCGGTCCCGACAGGATCAGACCCGAACATCTGAAGAATCTTCCGCCAGTTCTTAAACTCTGGCTCGACTCTTCACGCGCTACCTGTCGGAATGCAAGGTACCCACCTCGTGGAAAACCAGCAAGACTGTGTTGCTGTACAAGAAGGGAGACCTGTACGACATTGGCAATTATCGCCCAATCTGCCTGCTGTCTGTAGTCTACAAACTCTTCACACGAGTCATCCTGAACAGGATTGGCAGAACACTAGACGAAGGACAGCCATGCGAGCAAGCAGGGTTTCGAAGAGGATTCAGCACGATCGATCACATCCACACGGTAACGAAGCTCATCGAAGTATCGCGAGAGTACAAGATGCCGTTATGTCTCACGTTCATCGACTTGAAGAAAGCCTTCGACTCCGTTGAGACAGAAGCGGTTATCGAAGCCCTGGGCAACCAGGGTATTCCTACTCAGTACATCAGGATTCTTCGTGAGCTCTACAGCAACTTCACGACCAAGATCTCACCATTCTACAAGGAGATCATCATCGATGTGAAGAGAGGGGTCCGACAGGGCGACACCATCTCGCCCAAGCTCTTCAGCGCCTCTCTCGAGAACGTCATGCGTCAACTGGAATGGGAAGACATGGGAGTGAAGATCGACGGTCGGCAACTACACCATCTCCGCTTTGCTGACGACATCGTTTTGATAACACCAAACATCGAGCAAGCGGAACGAATGCTGGCTGAATTCGACTGCGCGTGTGGAAAAATCGGTCTACGGCTGAATCTAACGAAGACGATGTTCATGAGAAACGGATTGGTATCTGATGCCCCATTCACGCTCAACGGAACGACCATCTCTGAATGCTCTAGCTATGTGTACCTAGGTCGTGAAATCAATATGATGAATGACCTAGCTCCAGAGCTGAGCAGGAGGAAGCGAGCGGCTTGGGGAGCCTTCAAGAACATCGAGGGAGTAGCGAAGAAGACGAAGAACACCAAGCTCCGTGCCCACCTCTTCGATTCCGCGGTCCTTCCTGCCTTGACGTACGCCTCAGAGACTTGGACTCTACGAAAGCAGGATGAGCATGCGGTTGGCGTTATTCAACGCGCCATCGAAAGGGCGATGCTCGGAGTTTCCCGCTACACGCAAGTGAGAGAGGGAATCCGGAGCTCCGCACTCCGCCGACGATCGAAGATCAGAGACGCCGCCGCATTTGCCAAGGTTTCGAAGATCAGGTGGGCCGGCACGTCATGCGTTTCGAGGACGACCGCTGGACCAGAGCGATCACCGACTGGATTCCACGGGATGTCAAGCGAACGCCTGGACGACCGCCTATGCGATGGTCAGACTTCTTCGGGAAAGCTCCGAGCGAATGGTATGAAGTTCATCGTCCCCTCGAGTAGAGAGAGCTTATTGGGCAACTCTTGCACGTTGCAGGGACGAACGTTACTTTCGCCCACTCGAGGATCCCGATAATCAACGGGAGCACAGGTTACAGATGATACCCACGCATATACAGGTCTAGTTGCGGTCTACATTCGAATGGCTCGATAATTCAAGTTTCCTTCTGCGCTTTGGTTAGCAAATACTTTTACGAGAGCTTGTTTTTAACTGTTTACTTGAAGGCCTCGTCTATCAAAACTGCAGGCAATTTCTTCTCACCATTGGTACCTATTACGGGATTAACTAAACACTTCTCTAAAGAAAAGGCGAATGAACAAGCTTACCTTGATCTTGTGGAGCTAGCTGCTTGCGTTCAGAGGACTCTTTCGCTGTTTGCATTTGCTCTGCAAAAAAACATACCGCATAACAAGCAAAACTCGTTTTGGTCGTCAACCTACAGGTCTAGTTGAGGTCTACATTGAAATGGCTCAGTAATTCAGTTTTCCTTCTGTGCTTTGGTTGAACACTTTTACCAAAGTTAGCTTTTAATTGTTCACTTGAACAGCTCGCCTATCAGAGCTGTAGGGAGTACCTTACTATTGGTAGTTATTAAGGGATTAATGTAGACTACTTCACTACAGAGAACGGGCGAATGAACAAGCTTACCTTGATCTTGTGGAGCTAGCTGCTTGCGTTCAGAGGACTCTTTCGCTGTTTGCATTTGCTCTGCAAAAAACATACCGCATAACAAGCAAAACTTTTTTGATCGTCAACCTACAGGTCTAGTTGCGGTCTACATTGAAATGGCTCAGTAATTCAGGTTTTTCCTTCTGTGCTTTGGTTCGCGAACACTTTTACCAAAGTTAGCTTTTAATTGTTCACTTGAACAGCTCGCCTATCAGAGCTGTAGGGAGTACCTTACTATTGGTAGTTATTAAGGGATTAATGTAGACTACTTCACTACAGAGAACGGGCGAATGAACAAGCTTACCTTGATCTTGTGGAGCTAGCTGCTTGCGCTCCGAGGATTCTTTCGCTGGTTTGCA